AACATCCATAATATAATATATTTATAACACTCCCCCTTGGATGTTCATTAAAAAATAATGTGCCTCATTAAAACCTTACTAGGAAAAACCACAGGGGAAAAAATCCTAGTGAAGGAAAAAGAGTACACATATTTAGTAATACGCATTGCTGGCTGCCTCATTAAAAACCTTATAAGGAAAACCCTGTGGGGAAAACCTTAGTAAGGAAAAAAGAGTACAGCGCGCATTTTACTCCCCCTGAAGAAAACCTTATTTCAAATATTTGTGTCTCCGCATTCCAATCTTGTCTACCATATTCTCAAAAATTGATGCTGGTAAAGACAATCTACTGGATTGTCACTTGAACTAATTTGATGCACATCAATGTCACAATTTTCCTGAAGATTATGTATGTAGAATAATTCTGGTGAAATGTTATTCTTTATATCTCCTTTTATAAATCCTCCCTTTAATAGTGCTATGCATGAAACATTGTCTCCGTATAATATTGTGGGTCTTTTATCACATTCCAACCCACATGTTTCTCGAATGAATCACTGATCTCAATCATATTCACTCCCTGCTTGCCGGTTTGAGATCGAGCTTTATGGGTATCGGATAAATAACCTGCATCTGCATTACCAATACGATCTGCACCACTTTTGTTAGCATTAGCAAGATAAATAAGTGCACCATCTACACCGAGATAGAGTATTTCAGGACCAAAGAGCTCCTCATCCTCTTTTAGAGGTTGGAACAGATCCTTATTCACTTCAAGTGATTGAATATCCATTGGTGTAATTAATGGGTACACTTTGTCCATGTAAAAACATTTTTAAGACCCTCTTGGAGCTCTTCTGGAGTTTCAATTTATGTCACCAACATAAACAATAAGTGTAACAAATTCTAGTGACATTTTCTTTATAAAAATACATGGACAAATAACATAATTTATGTAACTTTCTTTCAGCAAATATTTACTGAGGCGATTATACCACACACGCACAGATTGCTTTAAACCGTACAAAGATCTTTATAATTTGATCGAGTCCATTTCTCAAGACTTTGAATTATATGCTTCAGGCATTTTCAATCCTTCAAGGATCTTCATATAGATTTAGTCAAATAAGTCATATAGGTTAAGACTTGTATCTAAATGGTATGACATTTTCAAGTGTCTGGACTGCTAGTCCGATCCTCACAATCTTTTACAATATTATGCACTATATTATATTAAATATATCGTCGACGATCATTTTGTGTCAGTTCCGAAGCGACATAACTTGTGGAGATCTCATCACTTTCTTTATTTTCAGGTACCTGAACTTTTTCGAGAGTTTCATGAAATGTTATGTCGTAGGCTCTTCTAGAGCTTATTTCCTCCTCATTATGATCATTAGCTCCTACTATTTTTCAAGGATTATTACCTTTGGAACCGATTGATCTACCACACTTCATGCGTACAGTAAACTCTATCCTTCAGGGATTTTAATTTTAATAGGAGCATTTGCAGCTAAAATATGATATTTAATTTTGGATCAGCAAATGCTTCTGGCATTCGACTTGAATTATCTTCTAAGTGAGGATCATGATAATTCGATTCATATAGCATATTTTTTAACTGTTTATTCCATCCCCCAAATGTTAGAAAAACTAACATATATCCCCAATCATCTTTAGAAAACATAACTTTGTGTATTATGGTAGAGAAATTAATCATATACCACGCAA